CAATTGTAGCTAACTTGGCATATTAACCCCTAGGTTTATTCTTGCAGGAGGCTCTGTGGTCATTTCAACATGCATTATGTATTCCATCTATCTTGAAGTCATCAAGATGACTTTCTGTTCATGCTAGTTGGCCTGAGGATTGATTTGTACTCTATCGCCCGAAATGCTTTCCTCGTGAAGTATATCTACTAGTCGCTGCTGCTAAGTTGATTTTTTCGATTCCTTTTGTCTAAACCTGGTGCACAAAGGAAACAAATCTGTACAAGTCTATATGTACTTCTACTTCGGTTGTCATTTATGCACTTGGATGCTTCGAGTAAAAAGGGTCACTCATGTGTTTAAGAAGTTAGTTCGCGATGCCAAATGTGTGGAACGATTTTATGTTTTATCATGGTTCAAGTGGATTTGTGTAACAATTTTATGGTGTTAAACCTGCGAGACTTACCTGCAAAAAGAAAAACGCAAGACTGTTGAACCAGGTTAGTTTTGTGAAGCTCCAGAAATTATTTTCTGCTGCAGGAAAAACTGAGGAGCCGGGTCGAGACTGGTTCTCTCCATTTATATGTATTAGTTTTTGGTCTCTGCCTGATTGAAGTTAAAGACTGGTTCTCTCCATTTATATGTATTAGTTTTTGGTCTCTGCCTGATTGAAGTTAAAGACTGGTTCTCTCCAATGATGTGTAGATTTTGTTCTCTGTTCCAATGCAAAATCATGCTTCCACCAGTTGGTAGGACATTAAATAGACTGTGTCTATATATATATATATATGGTGATGTAGCTCTTAACAATTATTTTGTGGCCTAATCCACCTGGGTACTAGCTGAATGATTTCTCAGCTTTGAGAATCACCAGAGAATTTGCGCTTAGGCTTGAAGATGTGTTTTAGTATTCCATTCAGGCTTTAATTGTGTTGTAGATCCCTCAAAAAAGAATTGTCTCGTAGAAGTTTAATCAAATTAGAATGTGAAATGAGGAAACTCCAGAAAATTTGACAAGATCATAGTTAACTTTATGTATATATGAGTTCAATGATATCCATCGTAATCAGTAATCAGGAGTATATTCTTAGCTCTCTTTTTATGTAACTCACGATCTGAATAAAGAAAGCAACTCAGCTTGTTTGGAATTTGCGGCGGCGTTGAATCTGAAACTGCAACGGCGGCGGCGGCGGTGCCAAACCAGGAGTGTGCGTCGGTCCTGCGAAGCCATAGTCAGCACCGTCGTGGAGAGGGATAGATTGTGGGGATAGAGGGAAAAGGGAATGCAGCCATCGGGATGGGAGTTCTGCTGAAGAGAGCTCGTCCGTGATAGATCGCCTGGTACAGAGAGGGGATCTCACGGAGACTGGTACAAAGCAGAGTGGAATTTCAGAAGGACTTTTGCGCAATTCAATGACTTGACAAGGTCCATTGTGTAAAATATACCCGCAGCCAGCTTGTGATAACATCCAGTCCATCTATTCCCCATCGCCCAGAATCGCTCGGTGTATTGGGTGCACGAATTGGCTCGTTGCAGAGGATATTTCCTCGGTCCCGAGTCGCGTTTGCAGGCGAGCGATGGCTATTTGGTCTGGCCCATCGCGCGTTTTAGCTGCATTTCGCTGCTTAAGGCAGGAAATAGGAGCGCCAATTCGAACCCCAAATTGCTAAATCCCCAAATCCCTTGGCAGCGAGATTGCCGGCGATGCGGCCTCCGGCGCCCAAGACCTCCGCCTACAGCCAACAAGAACCTCGTCCGGAGAACCTTCTTCTCCTCGCTTCCCCCCGCGCTGCCAAACTCTCCCTTGGCTGCCCCCTCTTGGACCGCCTCCTCTCCGGTGGCCTCCCCGCCGCGTCGGTCACAGAGATTGCTGGCGAATCCGCCGCCGGGAAGACCCAGCTTTGCCTCCAGCTCGCCCTCCTCGCGCCCCTCTCCCCTCACCCTTCCTCCTCCCTCTTCTTATGCTCCGACGTCCCCTTTCCCCTCCGCCGCCTCCGCCTCCTTGCCCCCAAATCGCGGCCAGACCTCCTGGATCACGTCCTTGTGGCCGCTGTACACTCCCCCTCCGACCTCCTCTCCCTCCTATCCCGCGCCCAGTACCACCTCTCCCACCCGAGTCGCTCCCCCCACCCCCTGCCTATCCGCGTCATCCTCCTTGACTCCATCGCTTCCCTCTTCCGCGCCGACTTCGACGCCTCACCCGCCGACCTCAAACGCCGGTCTGGGCTCTTCTTCAAGATATCCGCAAAACTCAAGGAACTGGCTCACAGGCACCAATGTGTGGTTGTGGTTACCAACCAGGTGGTCGACGTGGTGGAGGGGAACACGGGAAACACCGTGGCCTGGTCGTCGGGGCGGCAGGTGAGCCCTGCGCTGGGGCTTGCGTGGGCCAACTGCGTCAACACTCGGCTGTTCCTGACGCGGGAGGTGGATAGCAACGGTGGGAGTGCCAGGAGGCACATGAAGGTGGCCTTCGCGCCGCACTTGCCGGTGCGGACGTGTGAGTTCGTGATACGGAGGGACGGTGTCTTCGGCGTTGAGCCGGCACAAAGGTAGGCCAACGGTCTTGTATGTCAGTCATCTTTTGCCAGGAGAGAACCCGACGACCTGTTCGATCGAATGTGCATCTGGGTGATTCAGTTTGAAATACAGTGTAAGGAGATTATCCTCATTCCTCGATGGTTCAAATGAAATGTGAATTAGCTCTGTCTTATTTCTTATAGATCTTTTTGGGGATGCGGTGAACTTATGGCGAGCAAGTTAGTTATGAAATCCCAAGGCGGACAAAAATAGGTTCTTGCTTTACTGGGCGTGGTTGAAATCAGGGTATTGATTATGTGCCAGCTCAATATTGATACCTTCAATGGAGTTTGTCAAAGTGAACCTTCGTAATAAGCACTTTGTTGCCTGTGAAATCTATTGCCTTAAATACTTTGCATTGCTGAATCAACAACCTTCAACATCAATACTCCTGTGCAACCTTGTGCTTATGAGTTATGATGGCTATTGACTGTAACACTAATATTCATCAAAAGATGTATATTGATACCTTCAATGGAGTTTGTCCGTAATAAGCACTTTGTTGCCTGTGAAGTCTATTGCCTCAAATACTTTGCATTGCTGAATCAACAACCTTCAGCTTTAATACTCCTGTGCAACCTTGTGCTTATGAGTTATGATGGCTATTGACTGTAACACTAATATTCATCAAAAGATGTAAATTATTTTTCCAGTTCAATCTTATCGCCTGCTAAGATGTAAATCACTATGTGTTAACTGTTAGTGAATAAAAGATCATGTATAATTTATTCTCTCATCATGTAAATGTTATTCAAGACATTACTCATATAAGAAATGCTAGAGTACCCGCCTGGGCTCTCCAAGGGTGAGAGCGTCCTCTATGTCGTCCGTTTCAAGGTGCCGTGCCAATGCTCCCCTTACTCCGTCTCATGTGAAGCATATCACCTACGTTGACAAAGGAAAAAAGTAAGGTATTGGGTCTAGGGAAGGTTGCTATCTCAAAGAATCGACACATGAAAAAAGTGATGCTTGTCGAGTCCCTAGAATACAACCTCATGTCTATCTCAATGCTTTGTGATCCTGATATGATTTTCATCTTTGGCAAATATAGATGCATTGTGCTAATTGAATCGGACAAGTCCAAAGTCTTTGAAGACTTTAGGAGAGGTGATTTGTATATTGTAGATTTCTCTCTAGGTCCTCAACCATCCACATGCCTACTGGCAAAAGCTTTAGAATGCTGGCTATGCCATCGACGACTTGGACATGCTGGCGTGAGGAATTTGAGCACACTCGTCAAAAAGAAGCATATCATTGGCGTCGAGGGCGTCAAATTCGTCAAAGATCACCTTTGCGATGCTTGTGAAGTTGGAAAGATGACCAGGTCCAAGCACTCCGCGAAGACAATTATGACCACCTCTCGTCCCTTTGAATTACTTCACATGGATCTCTTTGGTCCCACTCACTATGTCACACTAACCAATGCAGCATCACTCTATGGATTCGTCATTGTTGATGACTATTCTCGTTGCACCTGGGTGCATATCATTACCTTCAAGACTGAAGTGCAGGGTGTCTTCACACGATTCGCTAACCGTGCCATGATGATTTATGGCATCAACATCAAGCATATCAGAAGTGATAATGGCACCAAGTTGAAGAACACAAGCCTTGATGACAATCTTGATGAACTTGGTATCACTCATGAGCTATCTGCTCCTTATATTCCTCAGCAGAATGGCATTGCTGAGCACATGAACATGACACTCATTGAGATGGCCCACACTATGCTTGATGAATACAAGACACCTCGTTGATGGTGGCCTGAAGTAATTGATACTGCTTATAACATCATCAATCGGGTATATCTTCACAAATTCCTCAAGAAGGCTTCATATGAGCTCCTCACTGATAAAAAGCCCATGTAAGTTATTTCAAAGTCTTCGGTGCTAAATGTTGGATTAGAGATCTAAAGGAAATATGCCCTAGAGGCAATAATAAAGTTGTTATTTATATTTCCTTATAACATGATAATTTTTTATTATTCATTCTATAATTGTACTAACCGAAAACTTGATACATGTGTGGATACATAGACAAAACACAGTGTCCCTAGTAAGCCTCTACTAGACTAGCTCGTTAATCAGAGATGGTTAAGTTTCCTAACCATAGACCTGTGTTGTCATATGATGAACGGGATCACATCATTAGGAGAATAATGTGATGGATAAGACCCATCCATTAGCTTAGCATAGTGATCGATAAGTTTTATTGCTATTGCTTTCTTCATGACTTATACATATCCTTTGACTATGGGATTATGCAACTCCTGAACACCGGAGGAATACCTTGTGTGAAATCAAACATCACAACGTAACTGGGTGATTATAAAGATGCTTTATAGGTGTCTCTGAAGGTGTTTGTTGAGCTGGCATAGATCAAGATTACGATTTGTCACTCCTAGTATCGGAGAGGTATCTCTAGGCCCTCTCGGTAATGCACATCACTATAAGCCTTGCAAGCAATGTGACTAATGAGTTAGTTGCGGGGTGATGTATTACAGAACGAGTAAAGAGACTTGCCGGTAACGAGACTGAACTAGGTATGATGATACCGACGATCGAATCTCGGGCAAGTAACATACCGATGACAAAGGGAATAACGTATGTTGTTATGCGGTTTGACCGATAAAGATCTTCATAGAATATGTAGGAACCAATATGAACATCTAGGTTCCGCTATTGGTTATTGACCGGAGATGTGTCTCGGTCATGTCTACATAGTTCTTGAACCCGTAGGGTCCGCACGCTGAACGTTCGATGACGATTTGTATTATGAGTTATGTGTTTTGGTGACCGAAGTTTGTTCGAAGTCCCGGATGAGATCACGGACATGACGAGTAGTATCGAAATGGTTGAGAGGTAAAGATTCATATATTGGAAGGTTGTATACGGACACCGGAATGGTTTCGAAGAGGTTCGGGGATTTATCGGAGTACCGGGAGGCTATCAGAACCCCCCAGGAAAGTTAATGGGCCTAATGGGCCATGGTGGAGAGGAAGAGGCAGCCACAGGAGGTGGCATGTGCCCCCTAAGCCCAATCTTAATTGGACAAGGGGTGGGGGCAAGGCCCCCCTTTCCTTCTCCCTCTCCTCCTCTTTCCCCTTTCCCCTCTCCATTGGAAGGAGGAGGGGAGCCGACTAGGAGTAGGAGTCCTAGTGGGACTCCCCCCACTCGGCGCGCCCCTAGGGGCCGGCCGGCCTCCCTTCCCCTCCTTTATATACGTGGGCTGGGGGCACCCCAAAGGCACAACAATTGTTCTCTTAGCTGTGTGCGGTGCCCCCCTCCACAGTTTACTCCTTTGGTCATTACGTCGTAGTGCTTAGGCGAAGCCCTGCGCGAATCACATCACCGTCGCCGTCACCACGCCGTCGTGCTCTCGAAACTCTCCCTTGACCCTCTACTGGATCAAGAGTTCGAGCGACGTCATCGAGCTGAACATGTGCTAAACACGGAGGTACCGTACGTTCGGTACTTGGATCGGTTGGATCGTGAAGACGTTCGACTACATCAACCGCGTTAACCTAACGCTTCCACTTTCGGTCTACGACGGTACATGGACACACTCTCCCCCTCTCGTTGGTATGCATCTCCTAGATAGATCTTGCATGATCATAGGACATTTTCTGAAATTGCATGCTTTGTTTCCCAACAGTGGCATCCGAGCCAGGTCTATGTGTAGACGATATGCACGAGTAGAACACAAAGAGTTGTGGACGATAATAGTCATACTCCTTACCACCAACGTCTTACTTTGATTCGGTGGTTTTGTTGGATGAAACTGTAGGGGAACGTAGTAATTTCAAAAAAATTCCTACGCACACGCAAGATCATGGTGATGCACAGCAACGAGAGGGGAGAGTGTTGTCTACGTACCCTCGTAGACCGGCAACAGAAGCGTTGACACAACATAGAGGAAGTAGTCGAACGTCTTCCCGATCCGACCGATCCAAGTACCGAACGTACGGTACCTCCGAGTTCTGCACACGTTCAACTCGGTGACGTCCCTCGAGCTCCGATCCATTCGAGTGTTGAGGGAGAGTTTCATCAGCACGACGGCGTGATGACGGTGATGATGTTCTACCGACGCAGGGCTTCGCCTAAGCACCACTACGATATGACCGAGGTGGAATATGGTGGAAGGGGGCACCGCACACGGCTAAGGAACGATCACGAAGATCAACTTGTGTGTCATGGGGTTCCCCCTTGCCCCCATATATAAAGGAGGGAGGGGGGAGGTGCGGCCGGCCCCTAGGGGTGCGCCTGGAGGAGTCCTACTCCCACCGGGAGTAGGACTCCCCCATCTTGCCTTGTTGGAGAAGGAAAGGGGAAGGGGGAAAGAGGAAAGGGGGGCGCCGCCCCCCCTTCCTTGTCCTATTCGGACTAGGGGGGGAGGGGGCACGCGGCCTGCCCTAGCCGGCCCTCCTCTTCTCCCTTAGGGCCCATGTAGGCCCATTAACCCCCGGGGGGTTCCGGTAACCCCCCGGTACTCCGGTAAAATCCCGATTTCACCCGGAACGATTCTGATATCCAAATATAGGCTTCCAATATATCAATCTTTATGTCTCGACCATTTCGAGACTCCTCTTCATGTCCGTGATTCACATCCGGGACTCCGAATAACCTTCGGTGCATCAAAACACAAAAACCCTAATTACGATCGTCACCGAACTTTAAGCGTGCGGACCCTACGGGTTCGAGAACTATGTAGACATGACCGAGACACGTCTCCGGTCAATAACCAATAGCGGAACCTGGATGCTCATATTGGCTCCTACATATTCTACGAAGATCTTTATCGGTCAAACTGCATAACAACATACGTTGTTCCCTTTGTCATCGGTATGCTACTTGCCCGAGATTCGATCGTCGGTATTCCAATACCTAGTTCAATCTCGTTACTGGCAAGTCTCTTTACTCATTCCATAATACATCATCTCACAACTAACTCATTAGTTGCAATGCCTGCAAGGCTTATGTGATGTGCATTACCGAGAGGGCCCAGAGATACCTCTCCGACAATCGGAGTGACAAATCCTAATCTCGAAATACACCAACCCAACATGTACCTTCGGAGACACCTGTAGAGAACCTTTATAATCACCTAGTTATGTTGTGACGTTTGGTAGCACACAAAGTGTTCCTCCGGTAAACGGGAGTTGCATAATCTCATAGTCATAGGAACATGTATAAGTCATGAAGAAAGCAATAGCAACATACTAAACGATCGTGTGCTAAGCTAACGGAATGGGTCATGTCAATCACATCATTCTCCTAATGATGTGATCCCGTTAATCAAATGACAACTCATGTCTATGGTTAGGAAACATAACCATCTTTGATCAATGAGCTAGTCAAGTAGAGGCATACTAGTGACACTCTGTTTGTCTATGTATTCGCACAAGTATTATGTTTCCGGTTAATACAATTCTAGAGTGAATAATAAACATTTATCATGATATAAGGAAATAAATAATAACTTTATTATTGACTCTAGGGAATATTTCCTTCAGTCTCCCAGTTGCACTAGAGTCAATAATCTAGATTACACAGTAATGATTCTAACACCCATGGAGTCTTGGTGCTGAGCATGTTTTGCTCGTGGAAGAGGCTTAGTCAACGGGTCTGCTACATTCAGATCCATATGTATCTTGAAAATCTCTATGTCTCCCACCTGGACTAAATCTCGGATGAATTTGAAGCGTCTCTTGATGTGCTTGGTTCTCTTGTGAAATCTGAATTCCTTCGCCAAGGCAATTGCACCAGTACTGTCACAAAAGATTTTCATTGGACCCGATGCACTAGGTATGACACCTAGATCGGATATGAACTCCTTCATCCAAACTCCTTCATTTGCTGCTTCCGAAGCAGCTATGTACTCCGCTTCACACGTAGATCCTGCCACGACGCTTTGTTTAGAACTGCACCAACTAATAGCTCCACCGTTCAATGTAAACACGTATTCGGTTTGCGATTTAGAATCGTCCGGATCTGTGTTAAAGCTTGCATCGATGTAACCATTTACGACGAGCTCTTTGTCACCTCCATAAACGAGAAACATTTCCTTCGTCCTTTTCAGGTACTTCAGGATGTTCTTGACCGCTGTCCAGTGATCCACTCCTGGATTACTTTGGTACCTCCCTGCTAAACTTATAGCAAGGCACACATCAGGTCTGGTACACAACATTGCATACACGATAGAGCCTATGGCTGAAGCATAGGGAACATCTTTCATTTTCTCTCTATCCTCTGCAGTGGTCAGGCATTGAGTCTTACTCAACTTCACACCTTGTAACACAGGTAAGAACCCTTTCTTAGCCTGGTCCATTTTGAACTTCTTCAAAACTTTATCAAGGTATGTGCTTTGTGAAAGTCCTATTAAGCGTCTTGATCTATCTCTATAGATCTTAATGCCCAATATATAAGCAGCTTCACCGAGGTCTTTCATTGAAAAACTCTTATTCAAGTATCCCTTTATGCTATCCAGAAATTCTATATCATTTCCAATCAGTAATATGTCATCCACATATAATATCAGAAATGCTACAGAGCTCCCACTCACTTTCTTGTAAATACAGGCTTTTCCAAAAGTCTGTACAAAACCAAATGCTTTGATTACACTATCAAAACATTTATTCCAACTCCGAGAGGCTTGCACCAGTCCATAAATGGATCGCTGGAGCTTGCACACTTTGTTAGCTCCCTTTGGATTGGCAAAACCTTCTGGCTGCATCATATACAACTCTTCTTCCAGAAATCCATTCAGGAATGCAGTTTTGACATCCATCTGCCAAATTTCATAATCATAAAATGCGGCAATTGCTAACATGATTCAAACAGACTTAAGCATCGCTACGGGTGAGAAGGTCTCATCGTAGTCAATCCCTTGAACTTGTCAAAAATCTTTCGCAACAAGTCAATCTTTGTAGACAGTAACATTACCGTCAGCGTCAGTCTTCTTCTTGAAGATCCATTTATTTTCAATTGCTTGCCGATCATTGGGCAAGTCAACCAAAGTCCACACTTTGTTCTCATACATGGATCCCATCTCAGATTTCATGGCTTCAAGCCATTTTGCGGAATCTGGGCTCACCATCGCTTCTTCATAGTTCGTAGGTTCATCATGGTCTAGTAACATGATTTCCATAACAGGATTACCATACCACTCTGGTGTGGATCTTACTCTAGTTGATCTACGAGGTTCAGTAACAACTTGATCTAAAGTTTCATGATCATCATCATTAACTTCCTCACTAACAGGTGTAGACGTCACAGGAACCGGTTTCTATGATGAACTACTTTCCAGTAAGGGAGCATGTACAGTTACCTCATCAAGTTCTACTTTCCTCCCACTCACTTCTTTCGAGAGAAACTCCTTCTCTAGAAAGGATCCATTCTTAGCAACGAATGTCTTGCCTTCGGATATGTGATAGAAGGTGTACCCAACAGTCTCCTTTGGGTATCCTATTAAGACACATTTTTCCGATTTGGGTTCGAGCTTATCAGGTTGAATCTTTTTCACATAAGCATCGCAACCCCAAACTTTAAGAAACGACAACTTTGGTTTCTTGCCAAACCATAGTTCATAAGGTGTCGTCTCAATGGATTTTGATGGTGCGCTATTTAACGTGAATGTGGACGTCTCTAAAGCATAACCCCAAAACAATAGCGGTAAATCAGTAAAAGACATCATAGATCGCACCATATCTAGTAAAGTACGATTATGACGTTCGGACACACCATTGCGCTGTGGTGTTCCAGGTGGCGTGAGTTGCGAAACTATTCCGCATTGTTTCAAATGTAGACCAATCTCGTAACTCAAATATTCTCCTCCATGATCAGATCGTAGAAATTTTATTTTCTTGTTACGATGATTTTCAACTTCACTCTGAAATTCTTTGAACTTTTCAAATGTTTCAGATTTATGTTTCATTAAGTAGATATACCCATATCTGCTTAAATCATCTGTGAAGGTGAGAAAATAACGATATCCGCCACGAGCCTCAACATTTATTGGACCACATACATCTGTATGTATGATTTCCAACAAATCTGTTGCTCTCTCCATAATACGGGAGAACGGCGTTTTAGTCATCTTGCCCATAAGGCACGGTTCGCAAGTACCAAGTGATTCATAATCAAGTGGTTTCAAAAGTCCATCAGTATGGAGTTTCTTCATGCGCTTTACTCCGATATGACCTAAACGGCAGTGCCACAAATAAGTTTCACTATCATTATCAACTCTGCATCTTTTGGCTTCAACATTATGAATATGTGTGTCACTACTATCGAGATTCATCAAAAATAGACCACTCTTTAAGGGTGCATGACCATAAAAGATATTACTCATATAAATAGAGCAACCATTATTCTCTAATTTAAATGAATAACCGTCTCGCATCAAACAAGATCCAGATATAATGTTCATGCTTAACGCTGGCACCAAATA